ACTCACACCCAATCATTTGGCGTAGATTAAATAATAGTGACTGTAGATTGCGCACATCCCACCTAGAGCCTCTATATGTTTTGCCTTTTTATGTATTCAGTGGTAGTTTATCATTTAAGTTATATCCTTGCGCCGTCAGTGCCCATTTAACCTGCACTTGGGCTCCTTTCCGTCCACACTACTCCGGGGACATTCAGGGACCCAGACACCCTATAGGGTCATATGCACACATATAAAAACACTCCTTAACGAACTTTCATCGAGTGCTAATGGAACTCACTTGTCCCACTACGCCTTTGCCTTTGGCCCCATTTCTCGGACCCTGACAGCAGCTGTAGCTGCGAATAGCATAGGCAGATAGTTATTCCGTCAAAGACAAGGGAGCCCGGAATGGCCATTTCTGGCTTATTAGGCGTCGTCATCTAGCCATGCCCAGACTCAGTTGTTGCACCGCCCAGGCGTCAAACTCGCGACCTCTTGATCACAGTCGAACGACCTACCCATTGAGGCACGAGCCACCAAATGAGTCTGGATATGACTGGCTGAAGATGGCTAATAAGCCAGAAGTGGCCGCTCCTCTGTCTTTGCCGGCAATGCTATCTACATATATAAAATTAGATAAAATATTCCTTGCACCATCTCACTAGGTAAGTAAACATAAACACATCTAACAAATTATGCTGGAGTGACGAGAGGCCCATTTTTGCTAGACCCTATGCCAAGGTCCAATTCCGGTTGTTGGGAACTTGATAGGTATGAGGAGTGAGGGCTGTCCCGTCAAAAGACAGGATTGTTTTCCCCACAAAGCTAGCACCTAACATCCATCTAATACCTGGGGTTCCGCTCATTCGTGCGCAGTTCAGTGGTCGGAACAAATTACGATACCAGGTCATAGCGTGCGGATGGGAGTGATGGAGCTAATTTGGTCATAAAGACGGTTTTGCAAGGTGAAAAATGAAGGACGTCTGCTGGAATGATCGAGGCATAAAAAGTGAGATTTTCAGAAGTACAGGCAGCATTCCGTCATGATCTGTGGCAAGGTGATGGGAGCAAATGAATTGAATTAGCCCGTGGTTATCTTTAAGAATGCATTTTGGCATTGCGGGTGATGTGGCAGACAGCCAGCAATGCTATCCGACTTCCTCGTTCAACGCTCACTGCCTCAATGTCATGAAACCCCGCAGGCAGCTGTTTCCTACTCGCTGAACTACAGACCCTTGGTCGATTCTCACTCACTCGAATACACACTTGCGTCCATATGGTTACGGCTGCCTAAGGGTCATCTGAACACGCCAACCGCTGGCCGACGCAGCATGTGGTACTGTACACAAAATCCCCTCGGATAACACCATTTAGACACCATTTTAACTTGCTCCACAATCCTACAAAAACAACTGCTACTACTCTCTCGTTCTCTCGCAGGCACGACCATACACAGTTAACACCAAAACTTGCTTCGCCAGCGGCCCCTGCTGTTTTGGGACAGCAACACAGGGTCCTGTGCACGACAAATATCTCATTCTGGTGCCTTTTGCCTTTTACCTACAACCCGAGATTTGGCCTGACCCTAGTGATCTGTGGACTAACAATGCGTAGACGCTACAAATTGGTGATCCCGACGTGATTTGAGCATGCAACCTCGGTGGTTAAGATGGCTTATGCAGGGATGACAGCGTAGATTTCTGCGACATAGATATCCGTCCTTCTGTCTAGTACTTAACTTTAGGGGAAGCCAACAATATGTAACTGGAGATCTTCATTTCCAGACAAAACGTAGTGTTTTTAAAATAGTACCTAAATTTGCAAAAAAATTAAAATGACCGGACACAGTGGCCCTAAGTACGAGTTTTGAGGAATATGTGTGTTCTGCAGAGTGAACTAATAAAAGTGATTTTTCAGATTTTTCAAGGGGTTCTTATCGCAGCTGTACAAGAGTTTAAATTGCATGGATAGGTGCATTCTCTTGAATTGCTGCTCCTGGTAATTCTATGGTTCACTCGACTAACTTGAAAGGCAACCAACCGCGAGCTCCCATCTACGTTTATAGGAACTAGCTAGAAAACGTGCTGCTTGCTTTTCCTTAAGTCATAAGTCATATATTTAAATTCTTAATCGACATTTCATGAGGCTTGGAACACATTAGAAAGGATAACCAATGTTGTTTATTTAGAGAGTACTATACGCCCGTGACGCATTTTAGAGCCATAAAGAACCTCAAAGGCAGTAGAGCTTTTATCCCAATGACAGTTGAGTCTACTGCAGTAAGTTTATAATTCGTTTAAACGTAACGTTGTATTGGAAGATAATTTTCCTTTTCAAGATGGCTG